CGTGCAATTCTTGTTCGATCTTGCAAACAGTTCTCTCGAGTTGTCGTCTGGACGTGAACATGAGCTGCGGTCGTTGTGAGGAGTGAGCCGGCAGCTTGTGACTTAAATATTGACTTCGATTTCCCAAGCAGTGACTGAGGAACTTGCAAGCCCGGTTTGTGATTGGCCCCTGCGCGCTGTCAATTATATATCACAGACTCGCTTCATATTGTTGGGAGGGAAATGACGGAAATGACGTTTGCATTGTCACACATTTAACCTGAAGCCTGTATCACTGACACTGATATAGGCGCATCTGATTGGTGGAATGAGCGTAGGGATGTCAGTGACACATTCAAACACGTGGATTGTGATTGGCACCTGTCAATCACAGACCACTCACTTGTGGTCACCGACTTGTTGGGTGACTAACTATGATTGGTGGATAGAATAATGACGTACACCTGCCATACGTGATTCGATCAGTGTTGATTTTGCGCTTCGTGTTATTTAATGGAGCCACGCATTTGGTGGCGAGTATTGTGTAGTCAGGTTATGCAGTCTACATTTTTAATAGAAAAACGAAGTCGTAATAAATAAGCTTAAAAAGAAAAAGTAATAAGAATTTGAATATATTGTGTGCATAATATCAGGTCCATGTACAGTTGCCGACCTCTTACGATGTTACAAGTACACTTATTTTGCAGAACCCAGCCGTTCCCAAAATTATAACCGTTCAACGTGCGCTCGGCCCGGCCAACTTCTCGGCATGCAAACGACCTTGCATCTGCTGAACCCGTCCCCGCTAATTGAGGCCCTCCCACCTCCGCTTATTGAGCCCAACCTATACTTAAACCAAACACATAATTAGGCAAACCCCGATCTTGACCCTCGCCTAATCAAACCTAATCCCAAACTTACCCCAACTGTTTGGATCCTACCAAGTGCAACAAGCTTCTTTCCTTAAGAAAAAACTAGCCTTTAATAGCCTGATCTCCGAGCCAAGCACGAATCCCCATATTGAACCCCTGCCCCCACCATCCCTTCCCCCTCCTTACCACCCAGGGCAGCCAACGGCGGATCCCGAACTAATATGCTGAGGCGGAGAAAGGGGTGCTTATTTAATGCTAGAGTGCTGTTGTTCCCCTTTCTATTAATAGTTTCGTCGAGTGAATCTATTTTTACAGCATTAACAGTCGTGTTGTGATATTTTTTTTTCGTTATTCACTTCCCACAATTACAGACAGTACCTGTTCTTTTACCTATCTAGGGTGTGTCGTTTTCAAACCTAGTATTTTCGAGAGATATTATGCTGCCAAGTATTACTCATTGATGTGGTTCATTAAAGGGACCTTAATTAAGACTCCTCATTTTCTGGAGGAAGCATTCAAAAGAGTTACGCGCCTCCCCCGAATCCCAGGCAGGCTGAGTGGTGAGTCACGCCCTCCCTAGCTTTCCGGGTTACGCAACTGAGTTTGAAGTGACGTGTCGTATCTTAACATCCAGCCGGGACCATGAGTTTGACCACGATGGGAACGTACAGCAATAATATTTTTACTGAAATAAATCTGCCATCGGAAATTTAAAAATCACGGGGGGTGTTGGGACAGCTATAACCAGGGGCAAAGAGGACAGGACGTCCGTACTACGCCGTCTGGCCTGAGGAGCTGGCCGCGTGTTTAATGCGCAGACCATTTCAACTATATCGGGTACTCAGACCTCACCGCTACACTTGGCAACGACCCTGCCCCTAACATACCTGCCCGTAAGCTGACGTGGGTTCAACTTTCACCCAATCCAGCCTCTCTCACAAAGGCGTTTCCACCCCCCCCCATCTCACCAATCTACCATCAATCTGCGGACGCAACCACCTAATTAACGCTTTACAACCTTCAGACCCAAACGACCTAAACACCCTGCCCCTTCACGGCGGATACAGAACCAAATTGTCCATGTGCTTCCAGTTATATTAGGCGGTGAATTGAGGGGTAGGGGGCAGGTATAAGGACCTGATACCCGGCAAGCTGGCCGTTACAGAAACAAAAGCCGTGGGGATGCCTTTCATTTGTCCTTCATTCTTTTTCCTGACTACATTATACTAGCATTTTGGGTGGCGTGGGTGGCTTGTGCGTAAAGCGCTCGCCTCTCATCAAGGTGACCACGGTTCGAATCCTGGCCGCGGATCACATCTGAGTACAGTTGTCCGTTGGTTCTCTCCTGTGCCACGAGGGTTTTAACCGTGCCCTCCGGTTTTCCTCCCTCCGGAAAAATCAAACACTTTCGATCTCAAGCTGTGCTCCGTGGTCATATATGGGTCGATGTGGTCGGCAGCCATAGGCGCCTTTATCGGCCCGACCACGTTGTAGCCGCGTCCTTCGCTATTTCGCTATTCAGCATCCCAGCTGCGAGTAAGGATGATTAGCCCCCAAATGATTAATTATTATATTTCAAGAATCCGTGGGGGAAATACACCAGTGGACTACACCATCGTCTTAGTAATGTTTACTGCTCTTGTTCAATTATTGAAAGATAAATAACTGTTGGTATCAGTTTTGTTGCCCCCTCCCATTTCAACCCCTAACCCCCTCGACACACATCTGTACCGGGCCTTGAACACGAACCCTTAATTCAAGACGGTGCGAATATTTTTAATTTCAAATTTACTAGGATTGTTAATAATAATCACTGATTGAAGTACTTAATAAGACAATATTTCACAAGATGTATGTGGGTGTAGTTTCGGAAAAGAAAATTCGCATCCAGGGCCATGGTTTACCACGATGGGAACGTACTGCAAAGCTACTTTTACTAGAATAAATCTGCCAACGGATATTTAAAAATTGCGGAAGAACATGCTTTACTAGTAATACAAATAATGTCCGCCTTTTGGAGGTCAAGTGTCCGGAAAAAAAACATGTCTGCATGTCAGATTTGTTTTGCCGATGAACCCCTCCCTCCTTCGAAAATTCCTGGATCCGCACTTGCACACACCCACCTCCCCCATACACGTGGCGATGACCCTGGCCCTAACATACCCGGCGTTTGTAAGATGAGCGTGTGAGGAAATCGTACAGCTTTCACCCTATTCAGCCTCTCTCATCAATGCTCTCCCTCTCATTCTCACCCATATCCCATTAATCTGCGAAACGCAACCACCTTATCTCTATCACCCTTCAAACCCAAGCCAACCTGAATACCCTGCCCTTCACAGGCGGATGCAGAACAACACTGTCGGTGGGCTTCCGGTTGTGTGGGGGGAGGAAGGAGGGGAGCAAAGATACATGGGCCTGACATCCAGCATTTTTGGTTTCTCATTTTGTTCTGTCTACATGTTTTAGCATTTTAAGAATCCGTGGGGTAAATGGGATAAGTAGACTACACCATCGTCTACGTGCCATTCATTGTTCTTGATGAATTATTGAAAGATAAGCAACAATCGGCATCATATTTTGCTCCCCGCCCCTCATCTTCAATCCCTAACCCCCTCGACACCACTATTCATTCATCCTCCACCCCATCCATCCTCAGCAAATGATAACCCGGCATTTCATTAACACGATCCCAAAATCTAGAAGTCAAAACAAACACATTTGGACAAAAATACAGGTAATTAACTGACTCTGTTCGCAATAATTTGTGATATCAAAGGTTTAGAATTGTTAACTATAATGACAGATTTAAGTCCTTAATAAGAAATTATTTTATGCGTAAGATTCAGACTGGGATTTGCTCGTTCATTTCAACGACAAACGATTTTACTGACTGTCTTCAGTAAACGGTCAAAATTTCTCTGTAATTTCACTTTCCTGCGAGGAATTAGAGGGAATGTATTACGAGTGGGACAAGGTTTTTCACATTGTTAAAAGCTAAATGTTCAATTAAAGTAATGTTCAAAATACAGTTTTTGAGTATTCATATTCGATACTGATTAAATGTTATATGATTAATTTCTGTGCCTAATTTAGTTAAGCTGTTAAACAGAGCACATCCTCAAATGTATACTTGGAAAAAAATGTTTCTTAGAATCAAATATATACTATAGAATCATAATTGCGTAATCTACTGATATAGTGTCACATTATTAACTCAAATTGCATTAAATTGTAAACAATTTCATCATAGTGAAAGCTCTAAAACTCAACTTTTAACATGAAACCAAAACTCAATTACACATGTATAACATAGGATACAAAATAAAGTGTTTAACGAAAGTTGAGAGTTCTTGGTTCACTGTGGCGTAATTTGAAACTCTTGTTTTTTTCAAGAAAAAAGTTTCCGAGGATAAATTAATGATATCACCAGACTTCATTTAATCTCTGGCTGTAAACGGTATACGACATGCAAAGGGGAAAAAAAAAACATTTTTTTTTTAATACATGCATTTGGTACTTCCCAGACAGACTATTGTAACGGTTTATGTTTTTGTCAAACGATTACCAGTTTAAGAAATAACAACATATATGCAGAAGGAAGGGTCGTACGACCATACTTCAGGAACTACGTTGGCTCTCGGTTACGGTGCGGAATGAATTCAAGATACTTCAGTACTTTTCAAACCTATCCGCCATGGTGAGGCAGCGCTATGGTACTCCACAGAGTAAATATCAGTTCATGCGTTTAACATTCGCACTAAAAGCTGTGATGGGGTTCAGTTTAACCTTCCTAAAGTTCGTCCAAAGCCTGGCAAGGCATATAGTGACCGTGCAGACTTCCACGTTATTTGAGCGAAAAATAATGCATTTGAAGTGTTTTTCAATCGCATCTAAAACCTTCTTTTTCAAAAGTCATATATTTAACTTCTTTTAAATTAACTGTTTTTACGTAGTTTTGATACTTGAATGTAAAATGCTTTGTATTAAGAATCAATTATCTTTCTTATTATCATGACATTGAACATTTTTACTTTTAATTCATTGGTTACTGTGTTGGCAAAATGGAAAGCGTAGTGTAGCACTGCTCCTGTATATTTATGCGTTGTGATCTCATTATATTTATTTAATTATTTATTTATTCGAAAAAAGGAGGAAGCCACTGAATGAGGTGTAGTGATAATTCGGAGTACTGTGCGCCCTACCGGACATGGTAAGATACACCGAGTCTCCTCGCTGCAGGACCATTACCGCGCTACCAGACAACTGACCAAGTTGATTTGATGTATCATAGGTAGTGATCACCTTGTAGTTATTTTTAACAAGATGGATGTAAAGGTAACCGCCGGTGCTATACTTAAGAACAGAGAACGTAAATACGTAGGTGCCCGGCACACTACATGTGAACGTGCCGGTCTCGAGATCGAAGCTGGTACCTGGCAGAAGCGTCTCGGCCTGCTGGAAGGGCAGACGGGTGTCTTGACTCGTAGAGGTATCCGAGGTGCTCGTCCTCACCACGGTGAATGCCACCCGCTTGTTGGAGTCGTCTGCTGTCTCCCCTAGCTCACCCTTCTGACCTTTGACACCAGTTTCCCCGGTTCCTCCGACAACACCAGGTAGCCCTCTCGGACCTATTTTGCCGGGCAGACCAATTCCATCATCACCTTTAAACCCAGTGTTCCCAGGTGCTCCCCGATCACCCATAGGTCCAATAGGGCCAATCTCACCTTGCTGACCTGCATCGCCATTTGACCCCGGCTGACCGTACGGCCCCATCGGTCCAACTGGGCCAGGCAGACCTGGTATGCCGGGTATTGCAGCAGGTCCCTGGCAGCACTGCTGACACACCTGAGACGCAGGACCATCACCGTCCGAGGGAACCGGCCCAGTAACGGAAGCTCGGAGCTTGACAGAGTTACCCAGAAGGAGGGCCATTGACAGAATGGTGGCCACGCAGATCTTCATCTATAAAGAAAACAATACAGGGCCTAAAATTACAAACAAAATCACTACATAAACTGAGTAATTTGTATACGAGACATAATATGGAGGATTCATTATTCAGAGAATGTGTCGGCAGTGGCCTATCCGAGAGCAAGGGGATAACATGTAAATAAAAAAGGTGGTTTTTTTTTAATCTGTTGCCATGGCAACTACGGGCAATCCACACTTGTTAGTATTATTGTTTTGCCCGCCGATAAAAGTTTGGAAAGGAGACCGAATTACATTATTTTACTTATGTGACGGCACGCCCTATTCCACGGTCATGATAGAATCAATTAAACATCATCACACCGACCTCGATGGTTCGGTCTTGAAGTCTTGAAGATCAGGTCCAAGAAGAGATCAAAAGGAGTTCACTGTAGGCTGAAAAATAATAAACAAAGAAAACTGGTAACGTTTATGCTTGAGTAAAGGAAGAAATACTTTAATCATTGATTTTAATACAATTTTGAGTTGTTTTTTTGACTTTGATCAATAATCATTCGAAACCAGGAACAATTATTCACAAATAAAAACAATGGTCAAAGTTTATTTGCATTTTCGTGACCGAATACGCCCAGAAAAAGCAACATGTTTTAATGAAGCTTTGTGTCATTTTTCTCTGGAACCTGAATGCTCCCTGAAATCAACATTAAATTGATTCAAACGCTTTCATGAAAGCCTTTATTCAAATTCATTGTAAAATGTATTCAAATTCATTATACCAAAAAATCTGTGTATTTTTGAGGCACTAGTAGTCATTGAATCATTTTTGAAAGCATAATTATCTGAGTTTTTAAAACAGCATATTCTTCATTTAAATATGTTTTTCCCGTCCAATTTTACACCTTGCTCATTCAATGTGTGAACACTTTCTTTCAAATTCGCATACAAACCCGTTAGCATTCTCAAACCCAGTTGAATTTAGCGAACGATCAAATTATTTAAGGGTATCTCCACTATAGGCCCTACGCATAAAAAAGAAGGCAATTGACGTATTTGCAATGAATTTATTGTGCTTTGGATTTCAGTCCAGTTCGGGAATTCAATTTCATGTTTACGTTCACAAAAGTCAAACATGTTTAATAAAAGTCGGCAGTTTAGCCAGATCAGTGGCGGCTCTAGGGGGGGGGGGCGGAGGGGGCGCCCTCCCACGGCAGTGACCGAATATTTATCAAAAAAGCCAAATTTTAATTGAGAGTGTCATTCCACCCTCACCCTTTCCCCCGGCACAAACTTCGCCCGGCAATAAACTCTCTGGATCCGCCCTTGAAGATATTATGTGGCAGTGTTATAACAAGGTATAAAATGACATGAGGTTTTGAAAAGTTATTTTTTTAAATGTCAGGGAAGGAATCATGAAACGTCCATATCATTAACAATTTATTGCTAAGTGTGTATTAAGTGACAGAAAGAACGAACTTTTTAGATTTGTTTTTATATTGACCAGTTAATTTTTGCAATCACCTTGTGGAAATAAAAAGATAATGGAAAAAAATACGGAAAATCAATCCAATTTCCTTTTTGCCAATACGATTGACAGTTAACGCAGTCTTCAATCTTTGGTATCTGTATCTTTCTTTTATTTCTTTTAGTTCTCTTTTCTTTTAGTTTGTAAATTGCATGTAGGCATACACAAAAATATTTTTTTTTTTTGTGAGGATATGACGAGTAATCTGCCTTTCTAAAAAGAAAGATGCAAAATCTAAATTGAAAGTCTTCATATACACAATTGCATGTCTGAGAACTACTTTGAGTGATTAAGGAATTAGCAAAACCGTTTTTTTTATTGAAAAGCACAACATTAAGTTTGAATTCAAAGAAGTCAGTCAGAAATCCTACATTAATGATGGTCTTTATGCTTCAAACAGGACTTCTAAGCAACGATTGGCCATTAGTAACGGTTGTCGTAGGGGAGGGGGATCCCTCACTTCTTTTGTTTTGAATCGAATGACGTTTTCTGTTTATAATGTTGACCAAAACGTTATCGGTGCATAAACAAACACAGTCTTCCACCAAAATACTATGCTATTGTCACGCTAAATTGAGAGAAAATGTACAATAAGAACTACTCACTTGATGTAATGTTCTTGAATTTTGTCACGAAAGAAATCATCAACAGGTGAGCAGATTGCTGGCGGAAAATAATACCAATTTATAAAAATGAGTTATTGAGTGATATGTATCTGATACCAGTGAAGTATAGTGGAGGAAATATTACAGATGGACCACCGCAGTTATGTTACAGTCATTACAAAAAGAATTGTTTCCCCGGTGGTGGGAAATCAGCGCACCTGTTTGGCTGGTAGCATCAGCCACCATCTGTTTGTCAACCCCGAATGTGTCTAGAAAATCTTTAAGGTTTAAGAAAATCTGTTCCATTATTGGAAACCTTAAACACTGAAAATATTGCTTTTTTCAAAAAGATATTTAACAGGATCTACGTGACATTCTCAGTGGAACCCTGCATGCAAACATGGCTGAATTCATCTGAAAGCTGGTGCTTCAAACGTTGAAGTCGGACAGCAGAGCAGACGGCCCGAATAATTTGTACAAACATCAACGCTTTACATGATTCCTAGAAATGAATCTAGCTACATAAAGCAATTTGAACTTGAATAAAGTGTGATCATGGTCCGGTCCATTCGTATGTGCGCTCTCTAGTCTATTCTGACCAGTGACACTTTTATCACGCAATGCTGAAGAGTAACGCTCAGGCCTATACGTGTATAGTGATCAAACCAGAATGGCGCACTGTGAACTAGTGGAATGACACAGTTTAAAAACAAAGCACAGAGGGTATTGAGATTATCCCAATTTTAAATAACACAACATAGGACAGGATGTTTGAGATGTCCCAATTTCCTTTATTCGTTCTTCCGTGGCCAATTTCTGCATAACTTTTATTCCTGAATTAGTTAGAGTGGTACCGGAAAAAAGGTGAGCGCATCGCAACGGGATTTTATGTTTGATACAATTAACAGGGAAAACTAGCAAGCAAATAAAGGGGGTGAATGGTTATACCGATATTATGGGTCAAGTGTCGAGCTCTCGCAATGTTTCTTTCTTTTAACCAACAAAGTTTTTATTCATCATCTGAAATATTGTGTAAGTGCGTGAACAATATGCAATTTCATGTAATACGCTATTGAAAACCTTCAGCCAGGTATGACTAGAAATCTGGCGAACCTGAATGGCAATAAAAACTATAAAACTTGCAAAGATTTATAGTGTGCTATCGCTAGCAACAACAATTGAAGTGAATTTTCAAGAGCTAGAGAAATCAGTCAGAATTTTGGACAATTGTTTGTTGAGAGTGCACTATGGAAGAAGCAGCGATAATATTGTCATACAGGAATTCCTTATTTAGAACAAATAAAATAAAATTCCTGATTATTTGCTCTTAGCTTTTATTGCCCGAAACTTTGGCCTCACAAAATGTTGGTATGAATCTGCAGCAACTGTCCAGATAAAGAGCTAATTCTTCTATATTATATACATTATAATATCTGGGGATTATTCAAGCACCTATGGATAAGTTATCGAGTAACCGTATGGAAACGGAATCATCATGGTCGGAACTATTTATAGCGCACTGTTTTGGCTATAAGCACATTTTTGGGTCAATATCATAAATCAAAAAGATCAATCCCAAATTTGGAAGAATGGTCGTCAAAGATTGTTTCAAACACTCACCGTGCAATTCTTGTTCGATCTTGCAAACAGTTCTCTCGGGTTGTCGTCTGAATGTGAACATGAGCTGCGGTCGTTGTGAGGAGTGAGCCGGCAGCTTGTGACTTAAATATTGACTTCGATTTCCCAAGCAGTGACTGAGGAACTTGCAAGCCCGGTTTGTGATTGGCCCCTGCGCGCTGTCAATTATATATCACAGACTCGCTTCATATTGTTGGGAGGGAAATGACGGAAATGACGTTTGCATTGTCACACATTTAACCTGAAGCCTGTATCACTGACACTGATATAGGCGCATCTGATTGGTGGAATGAGCGTAGGGATGTCAGTGACACATTCAAACACGTGAATTGTGATTGGCACCTGTCAATCACAGACCACTCACTTGTGGTCACCGACTTGTTGGGTGACTAACTATGATTGGTGGATAGAATAATGACGTACACCTGCCATACGTGATTCGATCAGTGTTGATTTTGCGCTTCGTGTTATTTAATGGAGCCACGCATTTGGTGGCTAGTATTGTGTAGTCAGGTTATGCAGTCTACAGTTTTAATAGAAAAACGAAGTCGTAATAATTAAGCTTAAAAAGAAAAAGTATTAAGAACTTGAATATATTGTGTGCATAATATCAGGTCCATGTACAGTTGCCGACCTCTTACGATGTTACAAGTACACTTATTTTGTAGAACCCAGCCGTTCCCAAAATTATAACCGTTCAACGTGCGCTCGGCCCCGCCAACTTCTCGGCATGCAAACGACCTTGCACCTGCTGAACCCGTCCCCGCTAATTGAGGCCCTCCCACCTCCGCTTATTGAGCCCAACCTATACTTAAACCAAACACATAATTAGGCAAACCCCGATCTTGACCCTCGCCTAATCAAACCTAATCCCAAACTTACCCCAACTGTTTGGATCCTACCAAGTGCAACAAGCTTCTTTCCTTAAGAATAAACTAGCCTTTAATAGCCTGATCTCCGAGCCAAGCACGAATCCCCATATTGAGCCCCTGCCCCCACCATCCCTTCCCCCTCCTTACCACCCTGGGCAGCCAACGGCGGATCCCGAACTAATATGCTGAGGTGGAGAAAGGGGTGCTTATTTAATGCTAGAGTGCTGTTATTCCCCTTTCTATTAATAGTTTCGTCGAAAG